GGTGGAGGGTCAGAGAAAAAGAGGAAGACCCCCAGCAAGATGGATTGGCAAAGTGGCAGCATCAATGGGCTCAAGAGTGGCAATGGTGGTGAGGTTGGCCCAGCACCAGGAAGTGTTTCATTCTACTGTGCTTAAGGTCACTATGAGTTGGTACTGACTCTATGGCACCTAACAACAACAAAGAAGAGAGTCTCGGAATAACGTAAATATGTGGTCTCAGCTGGTAAGCTGGTAGAGGTTGAATTTGTATGTCCTTGGCTAAAATGGACAGAGTCCTCTTCTAGGAGTTCCCAGGCTAGGGAAAAGGGCTTTTCCAGGACTCCTGTCCTAGGAAGGAAACACACTGTGATGCTCTCACAGGCCCTAAAGCTACCACTCTTTGTGACTTCACTGTTCACATGGCAGATCTGGTTCAGCTGACAGAGCACAGGGCAAGCAGATGGAAACACAAGGAGTGTGTGAAATTAGTTTCTTGGGTTAAGTTCAACTGGCATATATCCCTACAGCAATTTCGTACTCTAGAGACCCAGCTCTGTTGTGTAGAAAGAACTGACGGCAACCAACATCAAATTCCAACTCAGCTCCAGGCCGTGATGGGGTAGCCACAGAGTGGGTGGGTGAGGGAGTGACTGTGGTAGTGAAAGGCCAGCAGGAAAAGCAAAACACTCTTACCAACTGTGCAACAGGTGGGGTGAGGGGAAAAAGGTGGGATGGATTATCAATTCCCCTGTAACTCTCTGAAATCATGAAACTGTTAACTTCCATTTTCTGAACAGGAGCTAGTTTTTCTTCTTTGCCTTCTCCATTTTCAGCAGGCAGACTTGCATGATACTCAGACATCTCAGTCTAAATGGATACAAAGCTGAAAGTGAACTCATGCTCATCGATCTGGTCCATAATAGGTTCCCTACTGTTAGTTGCTGTAAGTGCCGTAGAGTTTTAGTTCCAACTCACTGTGACCCTGTAGAGGGTTTCTAAGGCTGTAAATCTTTGCAAGAGCAGAAAGCTTCTTCTTTCTCCCATGGAATGGCTGGCAGGTTCGAACTTCCGACCTTATGGGTTTGCAGTCCAGTGCTTAATTCTACACAAAGTTACCATGGTAGTAGTTGGTTCCAACTAACACAGTTTCCCAAGTTGACCAAGCAAGCCAGAACCCTGGAGGTCATTCTAGATCCCTTCCTTCTCCCTGTCCCACATCCAATCAACGATCAAACATTGTCCTTTTTTTTTTTCACCAATCTAAATAGTCCGCGTCTGACTCCATCACTACCTCTACCAACAGTGCCCGACTTCATACCCTTACACTCTCGAGTACAACTTAACTGAGGTCTAGTCAAAGCCCCTTCAGCAGCCACAGGGACCTGTTGACAACCGGTCTCACTGCCACCATGTGCCAATCCACTCTGCTGCCTCGGCCTTCAAGTCTGAGCTCTTCAGGATGTCATGTTTTCATCAGCTCTGGATTTCAAGTTCCAGGCACAATGAGCTATTTGTAGAGCTCCTCACACAGTTCTTCCCATTTCAGGCTCCTAGGTAACCTCTCCCACAAGCCTCTTCAGTCTCTAGGCTCAGGCTTCTCCTTCTAGGAAGCCACAGTGAAGCACAGCTCCTACTTGCTCCCATCCTTCTATCATTACAATCACTGAACTATCTGGAAACAGGTTCTGCTTATGCATATCTCCTGTACTAAAGGCGCCGAGCTCCGTGACAACCAAGAACAGCGGAGCACCACCATGGAGTTCTCAGTCTAGCACACGGCAGGTTTGCTCCTATTTTAGGACATACTGACTGAAAAGGATCCGTAGTTTTTTGAATGCCAAGGCCTTTACAACTTGGCAGCAAATAAAATTAGAACACATGCAAATCACAATGAACTGTAGATAAGCACCAACATTCAAAACATTACACTGCTGCTCTGGAATTCAAGTATTCCCCAAATAATTAAAAACTACATGGCAAGGGGTGATAGAGAGTTTATTGAATTAAATTTTTCTATTTACAACTAAGCAACATCTACATACTATTTAGCTAGTCTACATGGGTACATTATATCCAAATTTGTTTAAGACTTATGATGAATGGGCTCAATCTTAACACACACTCACACACACACACACACACACACACACTCACACTAATTGTTTTTAAAACAGTAGTGCATACATTATACTCCTCCTGTAAAGTCAGCTTTGATTTCAAACCCTAGTTTCAAAGATCAGTCTCTGATTTTGAAGATGAATCAAGATACATACCATATGATTCTAAACTCTAGTCATTTTGTACAGTTGCTATCTTATTGGAGTATAGTATATAGTTTTTAAAGGACACTGATGAGTGGGGGGCACCATCTGGTATTAACTTTAACCAGACAGCTGGCTTCTTCCCCCACTCCCTCCCAAACTTTGGCCAAGAATTCTACATTGTGAAGACTGAAAGGGTCCGGTGATACTTCAGAATTCGTTCCATTAATGCTTGGAGGTAACAAAAGCAGGCCCACATCCCCCTTTCATTCTACCACACTACACAACTCGCAAATGGTTCTGAAATTAGAACATTTACCACTGTACTTAAAAATGTAGGGATATGGAGAATCAGCTAGAACAAGGAAAAAGGAAGTTAGGGATGAACGGGTAGGGAGGTAAACGAAGAGCCAAGCTGTTCTGTCTAACACCAGTGGACGTGTGCTTTAACTAAAACAACTCAGGAGGCCAACGGCAACAGACCTGCTCAATTCACCTTCCAAATCAGAGTAAGACTGAGAAGCTCAGGTCTGAGTTTGCTACTATGCATAGGTTCCACCGGTGATGAGGAGCTCATAAGCAGGATCTCTACTCCGTCTGCACAACACGATGGACGCACACAGCATGCCCAGCAGCTGCAGGGAAGAAAATAGTGGGAGAGAGTATGAGAACTTGCTGTGGTAAGTATGTAATTCTGTGCTGCTAACGGAACAGTTTCAAACTCACGGACTTCAAATCACCAAACAGTAACAACCTAACAGACATCCTATAAATGTGTGATTTCTTAGGAATTAGAGAAATACCAAGTTTTCGTCTTCCTGATTACAAATGCAATGTCCAATCCAGTAGCCACCTGCCACATGTGTGTGACAAGTCACCACCTAGACAGTCACGGTGAAACTAAGGAGTAACATTTAGAAGTTTTATTTGTTACATTTAGACTAACGTGGCTAAGAGCTACGTTAACAGACAGAGAAGGTCCAGGGAGTGGAAAGATCAAGATTATGCATGCCAGGGAACTTTAAGTTCTTCATTAAGGGTGGTCGGATTTGAGGGTGATTCAATTTTTGAGTGACCAGAGTGGAAAACCAATTCTGGAAGTTTCAGTTTCTCCATAGTTATTCAGTATTTTTGAAACCTAGGTTTGGTTCTGTGGTATTATATGCATGCTACTTTTAAAAAGGTCACTCTTTACCATTTTATTTTAATCAGCCATAATCCTCCTTTGGTAGCACATGGAAATCGGAATAAAGTTATGCCATGCTATTTTGATAAGCAAGAGGATTATGTTGGATTAAAGAGAAAATGGGCCTAGAATTTCTGATTTGGCTTCTCACAAAATATAAATAGTTATCAAAGCGCTCAAAGTAAGTTCTAACTTTTCATTGAAGGCGAAAGGCCTCAGTTATTTGATTTTAAAAGGCAAGGCCCTCTCTCTGTTCAACTGGGGTCATTCTCATTTCAGCAAAATGTATCCGATCCATAAGCAGACTCTTGAAGTCTGAAGTGGACGGTAAGTATTAATGGGATACACAGACTGAGAATCAGGACGCCCTCAATCGGAACGCCTTCTGGTATACAACTGCAGGCTCCAATTTCGCTTAGAGTCTACCCAGTCTACATTTATAGTTGGGACACACATTTTTTAGTTTCATTATATCAATATTTGCTGAGTGCTAACTAGTGGCAAGCACCTTGGAAGCATTTAAAAAGTGGTTATTGTTGAAATTTTACTAAATATCTTGTCAAATCTAGGTATCTTTAGTGTCCAGAGAAATGCATTTCTGTTCATTGTACATCAAAACACTCTTAGAACAGTTATAAAATCAAACACAATTATGTTCTCAGGCAAATGTTAAATTGAGCAATAAAAACGCTGAGAAATTACTGATTTGTTGGGGGGAGAGGAGGATCTCTCTTCCCATACCCACTTCTTCACATTCTTTTCAATTGGTTAACTTCTACCGAAGGAGTCAGCATTCTTTAAATGGAGTCTGAAATAAGTATCAATTCCTTCCTGATTTTAAAAATTTCAATTAAATCCATTTATATTGATTTAAAAACAATGAAATAAGCTTGGTAAACCCTACTCATGCTTGGGAACAAGTGTCTGTTTAAGAACATTAGGTTCTACACAGTAACTCACTGCAGTGGAAACCTCATTACTGAGGCCCACCTTCCAAAGCTCTGTGATACTGGAATTGCACTGATTATTGAAATTCTATAATTTCTTAGAAATCTTCTATAAATATTTTAGCTCCAATATTATCTTTTGCAATATAATTTTCTCCTATATTATTCAAGTAATGAGAACTAATCATCACTGATCCCAAAGAGAGCACTTCTTCTTGTTGTTAACTGCCACCGAGTTGATTCCGATCCATAGAGACCCTGTATAGGGTTTCCAAGGAGCAGCTGGTGAGCTTGACCCACTGACCTTGCAGTTTGAATGACTTTGCAGTCTGACGCATTAGCCCACAGCGCCATACCAGGACTCCAAATATAGCACTAAGCCACTGAGAAAAATGATTGCTAAATACACAGAAGTGGCAACTGAATAAAACAACCACCAAAAAACCCCTTGACTGCTAAGATGACAGTGTTCTCTATATAATACACTGCACAGGTGACTATGCAGGGTAACACGTATTCTTATACAAGGCAACTGCAAACTGAATACTGGGGACACCCTTTTCTGAGAGAAAAAAACAAACAGAAAATAACAAAATTCATTCATATACTTTTGATTCCTCAACCATACATTTTTGCTATTAGTAGACTTTGCAATGCCTAGGATACTCATGACTTGAATTTTTTTGTAATAGCAACGTTGATCAGTGCTCACTAATGAAAATAAGCTAAAATATAAAGTGGGAGACTGTGAAGTGAAATAACCAAGGTAAACCTATGTCCAAAAGACTTAAATTTGTTTAAAGAGCAAGGTACAAAAAGTCCAATTACTATGCAATTCTACTTGTAAGACATTTTGAAGTAAAAAAATTTTAGAAATGGAAGACTAGTGAGTGCCGGAGCAGACAGCCTCCAGGAGGCATGGTTATCAAAGGTAACGGGCTGATTCCACGTGGGGTTGGAACTGTTCATTATCTTGTCTGTGGTGTGGCTCCAGGAACCTACAGTGTGGTCAAATGGTGCAGAATTTAATACACGTGTACATGCACACCAGTGAGAACTCTGAGGGAGATCAGTGGACTGTTAACAATATCAACATCCTAGCTGTCTTATTATGTTACAGCGCTACAGAATGTTAGTTACACTGGGAAACTGGGCAAAATCTACAAGGGCTCTCTCTCTGTACTATTTCTTACTACTGCATGTTAAAATCTTAAAAAAAAAAAAAAACACAAAGCAATGCACAATACTGCATCCTATAAGCTTCTATCTGCATAAAATAAGTGCTTGGACAAACACAAACGGTTTTGCAAAGTACATACAAGGGGCACCGAACAGTGGGTGCCACTTCAGGGAGGGACTCCTCAGAACTAAGGACCAAGACAGAAGCTACACCCCTCCAGGATGGCTACTAGCAGAAAAACTGAAAGTAAGTGTTCGTCAGGATGTGGAGAAACGAACCCTCATCCATTGTTGGTGAAACTATAAAATGGTGCACAGTCACTGTGGGAAACAGTTTGTCAGTTTAACCTGGTATGAGCATACCCAGAGATGTGAAAACAGAGACTCAGGAAATACTCAGACACCAGTGTTCATTGCAGTTCTTGTCACAACAGTCCAAAGACTGAAACCATCAAAATGTTCACCAACAGATGAATGGATAATCAAAATGGGTACCCATAGCAAGTATTACTTAGAGAAATGAAGTTCTGAAGGATGCTATGACATGAAGGAGCCTTGAAATCACTATGCAGAGTGAAATCAGACACAAAAGGTCAACTATTATACGAGGGGTTCAAAAAGCTCGTGGAAAAATGGAACTAAAAAAAATACTGAAAATTTTCCATGAACTTTTTGAAGCCCCCTCATATATAATCCTACATATATAATATCTAAAATAGGCAAACACATGAGTCAATGCTTACTAGAGGCTATCAGGGGCAAGTGGGAGCTGGTGACTTCTAAAGGAGGTCTGAATTTCTGCTGTGGGTAATGGAAGGTTGGAAAAGGCTAGCTGCACAATTTGGTGACCATGTCACTGAGTTATGCATATGTTGTTGTAGTTGTTGTTAAGTGACTTCAAGTTGGTTCCGACTCACACCGACCCTGTATAGGGTTTCCGAGGAGTGACTGGTGAGTTTGAACTGCTGACCTTGCGGTTCACACTGACCTTGCAGTCCAGCACAGAAACCCACAGCACCACCCCAGGACATATACAAGTGACTGAAATGGCAAAGGTTTTGCAACATATTTTTTACCACAATAAAAAAATAAAATAAAAATATTTTCAAAGTAGATTATGAAAAAAACAACACTGAGAGAGAGACTTAACTTTTACTAATTATAAATATCCTATCATTTGGTAAAATTATTTATCAAGTGGGTATTTTTAATTGCATTTAAAAATAAACTTTCAAAACTACAATTAAATTGCATTTCCCCTATCAAATAAAAAAGTTTAATAAAATTGGAGTCAATTAATTAGTTTCCCATCCTTTGGTTTAAATTTTAAAATAATTACTCAAGACATTTTTTTTTAAAAGGTGTCAGACTCAAGCCACTGCAGCCTATCTGAAGGTTCAATCTTAAGTGCTACTCATTTGTGAATTTTACTAAGTAACCGGTAGCTGAGAAGGAAGGAAGACCTAGCTATCTCAACATCTTTTCTATATACTTGGCGCAGAGATCAGAACAAAGCAACATATTCTTGGGAAGCAAGCACACTTAGAAAGCTTTGCTCTATCAAAGTTTACTCTTGAACACTCCACCTTGATGACATGCCAAATTCATGTGACTCCAAAGTTCTTGTTGTTAGGTGCCATCGAGTTGGTAACGACTCATAGTGACCCCATGCACAACAGAACAGAACAGCCTGCCTCATCCTACACCATTCTCACAATCGTTACGTTTGAGCCCATTGCTACGCCACTGGGTCAACCTATCTCCTTGGTGGTCTTCCTCTTTCCCTATGACCCTCCACTTTACCAAACATGATGGCCTTCTCCAGGGACTAGTCCCTCCTGATAACATGTCCGAAGTATGAGAGACAAAATCTCACCATCCTGGATTCGAAGGAGCATTCTGGTTATACTTCTTCCAACACAGATCTGCTTGTTCTTCTGGCAATCCATGGTACTTTAATATCCTCCAACACCAGAACTTAAATGCAATTGCTCTACAGTCTCCCTTAGTCACTGTCCAACTTTCATATGCATAGGAAGTTATTGAAAACAGGCACACCTTAGTCCTCAACACTGGTATCTTTATAGAGAGGTCTCTTTTGGATCAGATTTTCCTAGGACAATATGTCATTTGATTTCTTGACTGCTGTTTCCATGTGTATTTTTTGAGTGGATCCAGGCCAAATGAAGTTTTTGACAACATTTTTTCTACATTTATGTTATTTAGTGGTCCAGTGGTGAGGATTTTTGTTTTCTTTACATTTAGGTGTAAACCATACTGAAGGCTGTAGTCTTTGATTTTCATCAGTACGTATTGTAAGTCC